TGGTTTGTGTTGAGAAGTCTGCTGTTATCCTGATGGGCCTTCCTTTATAGGTTATCTGTTTCTTGTCTCTAACAGCTTTTAATATTCTGTTCTTATGTTGAATTTCTGGGATCGTAATTATTATATGCCTGGGTGTAGCTCTGTTTTGTTTGTAGGTGGCTGGAGTTCTGTATGCCTCATACATCTGAATATCATTTCCTTTTCTATGTTTGGGAAGTTTTCCTTAATTATTTCTGTGAATAGCATTTGTAGTTCCTTTGTTTGTACCCCTGCTCCTTCATTCACATTCTTTATTCTCAAGTTATAGACCCTCTTGTCATCTTCTAGCCTTTGTATTGTTACTGCTTGTTTCCTTGCTATTTTTAAAAAGCTTTTCCTTTCATAATCCCACATTGCAAACCTGTCCTCCAGTTTGGATAATCTATCCATAGTTTGTTTCTTTCAAGCTGTTTTGCCATCTTTCCATAGAGTTTTTAATTTCCTGGTAATCTCTTTGAATCTGCTTCATGTATTCTACATTTTCTTTATATTCTTGATGAAATGGTTCTCTCCTTTGTTTGAGTTCCTCCCTTCTTCCATCTGTGTTTTCTTGAAGGGTATTTAGCATCTCTGTTATTAATCTTATATCTTGCTTTACTTGGCTAAATATTTCACTTTTGAACTCATCTATGAGGTCCCGAAGATATCTCTTTATGTCTACTGGTGCCGTGTCTGATATTGCATGTTTGCTGTCCTCATTTTGCTTTGTATTTACCTGTCCTGGGTCAGTGTTCTCAGGGTTGGGACCTGGTGACTTTTTCTTGTTGCTTCCTTTTCCCATCTTTTTGGTTTCTTCCCGGAGCCCCCAGTTTCTTTTTTGTTGGTTGCAATTCTTCTGAGATGCTTGCTAGGTGACACTTCCCACTGTACTGTGCTAGTGAGTTGCACACAGGGGCAGCTTATGCTGGCCCCTACCCTCTGGACCAGTCAAGCTACTGAGTCATTCACTGTATTACTGAACACTGCCTCCCTTCCGGGTTAGTCAAACTTCTGATGCCTTCACAATGTTTGTGTGCATTGCTTCCATAGGGAATTGATTTCAGATTATCTATTGGGTCTCAGACAGGTCGCATGACCCAGGCCAAGTTCACTCCACCAATGCTGTTTGGAAGGGAAAAACTGACTGAAGTCACTGCTGCCCCTTGTACTTGCCAGTCTTGCCTGGTCCCAGAATGTCATCCACCAGAGCACCCCTTTCTGTGGAATGGCTCCACTCCTGTCATTCACCACAGGTTGATGCAGGCTCCCCACCAGCTCATCTCTCCACTCAGCTGGCCAACCCCTGACCTCAGTGTGATTGCGCCTCCAGTGAGTCAAAGTGGCAGGACCTTGATGGCTTGGCAAGTTGCCCCCTGCGATGGGAGCACTGAACCTTTAGCTGTTCCAATAATAGCACTGGGACTGTATGCTTGTTTCTTCTCATCTTAGTTTCTTCTTGTGACGAGAGAATTCATCTCCCTCTGTTTGGGACTTCTCACACTATATTATATTGAATTCAAAGCTGACTGTCTCAGGGAGCCTCTGTAGCTAGCTGTTATCTATTCACCATCTTTCCTGAGTTGATTTTCATCTCTATTAATAGTTGTCTTATAGAGTTTGGTGCTCCTATCTTTGGTGCATACATATTTATGCTTGTTTCCTCTTCCTCTTGAATTTTTCTCCTAACAAGTATGGCATAATATTTATCTCTTTTGATCATTGTTGGTTTCAAGTTCACATGTCTGTAAACAAAACAGCTACCCTGTTTTTTCCTGTATTCTTGCTACATGGAGTATTATTTTGTTTTTTGAGTTTTTTCACAATATTTTTAAATTTTTATTTAAACAAAGACTAAACAAAACAGAAAACAGGTAGAAATAATACCTAATTTCAAAGAAAAAATTAACAGTAAGAAATCACTAGTTAATGATTACATATTGTCCTCTTACAAATAGTTGCTCAAGATACAAAAGTTAAACATACAAAGTGGGGATTCAAACAGTGAGATTGCAAACAGTTCTGTTCAGCTATCCAACAATAACTTAGTGTCATGGTTTATGTCTGTGTCCCCATGCCTCGTGAGTTTGCATTGTGCGTTTGTAATTGATTCATTGTCTAGTGCTCAGATTGATGATGTCAGTGCTACACCCACATAGGGGTGGAACCAGGATATGATGTAATGGCAGGAAGAAGGTGTGCTTTCTCTCTTTGCTGGTTCCTGCTTGCTGTTGACAGCTGCCATGAACTGTGGCCCAGCCATGCCCGCCTGCCTTGGAGCCAACTGAGTATGGACTGAAACCTCTAAAAACTGTAAGAAATAAACCTTTCCTTTCCTAACTTTGGGCTTCAGGTATTTTGTCTCAGCAATGAGTAAAAAGTAACTAAGACACTCAGTAATATGGTTATCAATCCTATATACTTAAACATACATGCAGTTATCCATATCTTCATTTATGTTGAGATTAAATAAGCCATAGCAGGCTAAAATCACTCTGAACAAGGAATAATAGTACTGCTGGATTTCACATCATGTGACCATGGGATAACCACTGGGTACTGTATTGTCAAAGTAGTTGTTCATTTCACCATATGTTATAAGATCAGTTCTCATAAACTGTTTTTAGGTTCTATGCATACATGAGTCTTAACATGTATTTCTATCCTTTCTATATTAGAGGGAGAAACAAAACAAAGCAAGCAAAAACGAAACATATTCCTATAAACACATGAAGTGAAAAAGACATATAAAACCACTGTCAAGGTGTTCTACCATGGTTATTGTGTAGGCTCTTCTTCAATAGAATTGTCTATATTATCAGACATAGTATAACTGAATACAGCAGTACATAACAATATTAATAAAGACACAACTTTGTAGATAGTATAAAACTTCAAAAACAGGTAATAATCAAACCAGAATGGGTATCATGGTGAATCTTGTTATTTTCAGTGTAGTTGTCTATACTCTCAGCCTTAATACTATCAATCATAACAGTTTTGAATAAAGTCTGTCGATACCAAACAGCAATCAAACAAACCAGATTTAACTAATATCAGTCATGATAACAGCATAAGTTATACAGGGCTCCAGATTAAGTTAATAGGAAATTAAAAAGAGAAAAAAGCCAATCAAAACAAGATAGTATAGTGACACAGGATTTCTTTTTTTTAAATTTTATTTAAGGAGAAAAAAGAAAAAAAAACAGAAAAAAAGATACAATTTATACAGAATTTCAGAAAAAATAAACAGTAGGAAATCACTAGTTACTCATATATTGTCATCTTAGAAATAGTTGTTCAAGTTACAAAATTAAAGCATATAGAGGGGACTTTCAAACAGTGAGACTGCAAACAGTTTTGTTCGATGATCTAACAAAACTCAATATGACACAGGATTTCAAAGCAAGGTAATAGGAAATCAACAATAGGTACCATACTGCCTCTTGTTGTTTTCAAAATAGCTGCCCATACCTTCAGACACAGTAAAATCAAACAAAACAGAAACAGAACAGAAGCAGTAAAAACAAGTAAAGAATGCAATGCAGGCCTTCAAAACAAAATAATAGTAAATCCAAAATTGCTACCATAATATATCTTCTTATCTTCGAAATAGCTGCCCATGCCATCAGACACAACAAAATCAAACCAGATAAAACAGTAAAACCCAACCAAAACAATGAGAATGATACAGGATTTCAAAACAAGATCATAAGGAATTAACAATGGTCACCACCTTCAGAGGAAGATCCCCCATGTATGCTGCATTGCATATTGTTATCCTATGAATAGATCATCAGACTACCAGCTTTAGGCTGGCAAAGTCAGTGAAGCAGTAAATACTACAAGCATTAAGTTGTATTCTACCTCATTAGCTATCATCACAGCCTGTGTTCCTTTGGATCAGCTGGTCACCGATGGGGGGGGGGGAAATGTTGGCTCTTCATGCTAATGGCATTTTGACTGATACTGCATTGAATCTGTATAACAATTTTGGGACTATGGTCATTTTCACCATGTTGGTTCTCCCTACTCAAGAAGACAGAATATTTTTCCATTTCCTTATATCCTCTTAAACCTCCCTTTTCAGAGTATTGTAGTTTTCAATGTTGAGATCTTTTACTACCTTTGTTAGACTGATTCGTAAGTATTTCATTGTTTCATAGATGACTTTTATCAGATTGAGATAAAGACCATCTATTTCAGTTTTCTGTAGGATCTTAATCATGAATGGGTGTTAGACTTTGTCAAAAGCTTTTTCTGCATCTATCAAGCTGATCATGCAATTTTTGTCCTTGGCTCTGTTAACATGGTATACTACATTCATTGATTTGCATATATTGAACCATTCCTGCATCCCAGTGAATCCCACTTGGTTATGGTATATAAACTTCCATACAACTTGGTTTGCTGCATTCCAACTTGATTTGCTGCATTCTATTTGCTAGTATCTTACTAAAGGTTTTTATGTGTATGTTCATTAGGGGGATTGGCTGGTGGTTTTATTTTTGGTTGGATCTTCTGGCCCTTGTTCTACCTGACACATTCCAAAGGCTGAGCCATGCATACGGTTAAGGAATATTTACTAGGAATGCAAAGGAAAGGTTGAAAGCTTTTTAGATCATAAAGTTTAATTCTGATGTTTTTTGTATTTCTTAATTGTAATGGTAAAGCATGCTCTTAAAAATCACATGTAATTAAGTGAATATGTGACTTTGAGTTATGTGACTCAGACTCACTGTCTGCTCACCAGGGAATAACTAAGGATAGTGGTTCCAGATTTGCAGGACTGAAGGCAGCAAACATGATCATAGGGAAGAATATAAAAAATTGCATAAAGTGCTCCAACAGGCTACCACATGCAGCAGTCAGGATGTCCCCAGTTCATTTTTTTGGCCTACATTAAATGACAATGAATTCTTTACTAACTGATTGATCACCAAACTCTTCAATCCAAAGCAATTGCAGGGATAAATCAATGCACATTTTAAAGAGAAAATAATGACATTTGATTTTATTTATGATGTAGAGGAGGAGGAAATTTGGCTGATGAGAGAACCGCATAGAATCAAAGAGTAAAGCTACAGAAATCAGTTACAGAGCAATTATGTGGCAGCCACATCCTCTTGGGAATCTGGGGGTCTTACAGGCCCCTAAGACTAAAGAAACAGAAACTTCCTTGTTTCAAGATTCACCTAGTGTTTGTGGTCAGATCAGATGCCCTGTAGGGGTGAAGAAAAAGTTATTAGAGAGTGCTGACCTTTCTTCCTCTAAATCTGACATAAAAGAATGGTTTTATCAGATAAAACACAGCCTGATTTTAAAAATACTACTGATCTCAGCTTTCTTGCTCAGTAAGAAAATGTTCTTTCCAACATTCATCCAAGGGCTGAGGCTGAAGCATTAGTCCAGGCCTGAAGCCCTGCTCCCTGTAGCCAGTGCTTCAGTGAGAAGAAAGCGCTCACACTCCTCTGCAACCCTCCCCTTGGGAGAAGCAAGCAGGAACATTACCTGCTTATTGAGGTCCTCGCTGACCTGAAAGGAAAGGACAGCAGTGCATTAGCCATCAAATCCACCTCAGATGCCGAAGGAAGCCTTCTCCTCCCACCTTCCACTGCCCAGTGTGAGTCTGGATCCCTGGAAACCACCCTGCACCTGGTGGTTTAGGTCCCAGCCCCGGAATTCCTCTGTCCCTCATCTTGATTCTGACAGTTTGATTACAGTGGCTTCTAGAACTCTGGGGCATCTCTCTTCTGTCTCATCCCTTATCACAGTGAAGGGAAAGTCAGGGAAGAGGTGGCCTCAGTCCCCGGGCAGCTTTTCCTACCTTTCTTGCTCCTCACGTGCATGACGATGCCGACTGTGAGGAAGATGAGCCCCAGCACGAAACCCCCGATTCCAGTCAGCTTCTTGTTCCGGGCAGCATCAGACTGAGCCGCTGACGAAAACAAAATCCAGGGTTACTGTCACCTCCACGGGGACATCCCTGTCCATGTCCTATGTGAGACCCTGGAGTGGATGTGGAACATCAGCAAGAGGCAGTGACCAGGGGACCCACTAAGTCCCGGTTCCAGACTTAGGCTGGTGACTTCAACCACAGGACAAATGGGCACTCTGCCAGCTGCCTCTCAGTACAGGCCGAACAGTGTGAAAGCTGACAGAAGAGAGCAGCTCCTATGTGGGAGGCCAGTTCAGGAGAGTCCCCTGAGTTTCTCATTACTGAAACTCTGCAGGGGCAGGGGAGCCTCTGTTTCCTGAAGCTCAGAATTACACTCAGAAAACACAGTGTGTACTCATGGCTCCAGTGTAGACAAGAAGAGTGGACCTGGGAGCCAGTGTGTTCCCTGCCTTTCAGACTGTGGGCTCTGGAAGGTCCCTGAAGGCGGGAAACTCACTCCACTCCACAGTGACAGGGCTGTCCAGGCTGGGGTGCTCCACGTGGCAGGTGTAGACGTCTCCCTGCTGGGGGGTCACTTCCAGCATCACTAGGATCTGGAAAGTCCAGTCCCCATTATGGATCAGGTTGGTGGACTCGATCCCAGCTGTTTCCTCCTGTCCATTCAGGAACCATCGCACCTCAATGTCACCCGGGTAGAAATCTGTCACGTGGCAGATGAGCTGGTTGTGGTGCTGCAGGGTGCCCTTCTTGGCGGGGGACACATGTACTTTAGGCTGGACTAGGATTGGAGGGAAAAAGGAATGATGCCAGAGATTATTGTTTCTTATATGCTTTCACTAAGAAAGTGTTTTCTAGGTGTTAAACGTACAAATGTCATAATTCGGTGAGCAGATACTGTTTGTACTGCAGTGATATAAATAGACCCTCCAACAGAATATGCCTGATCACTAATCACATAATAAACTACAAAGATTTGAAGGAAGACAAAAGCAGTACTTTGTAATATATTAGCAGAAATTGTACCTATAAGCCATTGATTACCAATAATAGTCTTTTGAAAAAGAATATTTCTCCAGTTTTCAAACTACCTATATTTTCAATGCTGTATCTTTAGCAAAATGAGGCAAAATTGCCTAAACAGGGTAAAGTTAAGATACATAGAAAATAGTATTCTCTTGTCTACCACATTATATCATGAACATTAAAAGTATATAAAACAAGTGTGAAATTGATTTAATTTTCAGATAGTCTGTGTATTTTATGGCCTCTTCTTCCCAAAAGTCCATGACTGATCTCCATATTTACAGTAATACTGTTTCCCAGAAAATATGGTCTACTCTAGAAACAATATATAACATGATTTTAGAAGGCACCAGAACTTAGTTAGGGATAGCTTTATATTTAGGGAATCAGTGCACACTGAAATCTAATATCCCAAGTCCCATCTGTTTGAGTATTAGGAATTCCAATCTATTTTTAATTTTTTTTTAATTTTAAAGAGATTAAGACAAAAGAGAACATAACAAAGAAGATAAGAACATAAAACAACACAGTATTTCACCATAAGACAACCCAATATAACAGTAGCTACCATGTCTCTTTCTTTGAAATAGTTGAGCACACCTTCACATACAATAGTATCAAACATAACAAAATACTATAAAACCATTAAAGAGAGTGAAAATATTACAGCGCATTCAGAACCAAATAACAAAAAACAATGGCTACTCTATTATCTCATTGTCCATAAAAAATTTGTTTATAGTATCACACATAATAAAATCCAATAAATACAACACGATAGAACCAATGGAAACAGAAGAACAAAATCATAGTAGGATTTCAAAGCAAGATGATATTAAATCAGCACTGGCTATTACAATGTCTTGTTTTCTTCAAAATAGCTGTTCATACAGAAATTCCAATGTATTGCAAAGTCTCTCCTATGCAGTCTCTTTCTTGGTTGCTTGAGATAACCTACAAGCAGGTGTTGTCTGTTCCTCTCCATCTTTCTGTCTGATGTTCTGTGCTTTCCTCCGCGTCTTTTTTCTGGGTCACTCTTGCCTGATACTCCTGTCAATTTCCATGCTGCTTGTGATTTTACCAACGGTGAGTTTTTCTGGGTCTCTACTGCCAGCATGTTAAGTCCCTCCCAAGATCAAAAATATCTGTTTACCTCAAGAGAAAGTATATTCAGAATTTCACTCTCCACAGCTTTTAGGTGCTTAATAGCTCATTTTTCCCCAATGTATGTTTCCCATATAGCACAAATACATGGAAGTGAGACAGGGTCAGGTAAAAGGATGCTTCTGAACTGTCCATGGAACCACTGTTTTCTTTAGCAGCTTGCTTCTGTGTCCAGATGTGCCTACACTGCAGCCTTGTCCACTCCAAGTGATTTACATTTAGCTGTACCTTTCATTTAAACACATTTATAAGCTCACAGTTCACCTGCCAGTTCAACACTGCTCTGAGTTGTAATTTGTAACTTAATTTAAATTGCTCTTTTTTGGGGACTCCTTGGTCTCATGCAAATAAGAACCTAAAGTAGCTTGTCTATTTTAAAGCCCAGAATATTCTGTAAGAAACTTTGCCTTGAGTACTGTGAGGAAAGCATAGTCATAAATTAACATAAACTTGTATAATCGTTAGTTACCCAGGAGTTTGTACTTTACTAGGCAACATGATTGTTTGTTCTTGAGGAAATCTTACAATGCATTGTATATAAGGAAATGAAAGCAGGACGTTAGTCCCAGTGGAATGCTGCTGGCACAGCACAAGAGGCTTTGCTAAGATGTGTCCAATTGAAGTAAAGATGATCGTCAGGAAGGACAGTAATAGTCCCTGAGATAGTTAAACAATAGTTGTTCTGCATGTGGCCAGTGTCTCCCCTCTTGTTTTTCTCTTATTGCCTATGAAATGATTGCCTATAAAAGTCTTGAGTAAAATATGATCAAGGATTCAGTCCTAGAAGCTGTAGCCTCTTGATTCCACACCTTTTTTTTTTTTTTTTTTTTTTTTTTTTTTTGGTACCAGGAATCAAACTCACAACCTCGTGCTTTCCAGGCAAGCACTTACACCACTGAGATAAATCCCAAGCCCCCAGCCCAGATCCCAGACTTTTGTTTCTTTTGTCTTTCTTTTAATCTGCTACACCTCATCATGGAGACCTGTCATTTTCACAGAAACCAACATTTTGGTGCCTGAACAGGGACCTGACAATGAAAGGAGACTTCGAGATATCAAGAAGGGATTTTAATGTTTAGCGGACAAGGAAGCATCAGATGGATAAGTAAGGCCAGTCTCCAGGAATTTTGCATCAGGGTTGCCATGGGAAATTCCCTGTCGCAACAAGAATGAGCTCAGATACTTAAAACTTTGTTGAAGAGCCTGGGGGTTAAAGTGAAACCACAGTCTTTCACCAAATTATTCACCTTGATATGGAAATATTGTTATTGATTTGAACCCAAGGGACATAATGTTTTATACTTAAAGCTGTTGAGATTGGTAATGAAAGCTTTGAAATGTACTTATCAGCAAGGGAATTCTATTCCTTTACATGTTTGGTCTTTATGTAATTTAATAACTTTGGCTTTAGAACTCATATAGTCTGAATTTGAACAGAAAATTTTGTCTAATGGGGAAAATGAGAAAGGCAGGGACAGTTCTGACTCTGAATCAGATGATTGTTCTTGTGAGGGGACTACTGCTTCAGAATCAGGGACAAATTACAGAGGAGGTATGGATCTTCTGGAAACACTTCTGTTACACTAAAACCTTCCTTACCATGGCATATTGATAAACCAGTACAATCTGACTTTCCTTCCATGCTGCTTCTTAGGTCCCAGGAGTATTCTGTGGCACCGTTAGCTCCAGTATATGATAAATCTAACCTTTTCTTGATCTATCTCAAATAACTGTTGCAACACCAACACTGATGACCACTGTGGTTAAGGTTTTTGTTCAAGCAAAACAGGAGGGTGATTTGTGCTTGTCAACCTTTTGCTATGTGTCCAGTTACTATCATCTAATTGCCAGGAGATCAGCAAAATCCTCAAGGTTACATTAAATATGGTTGTAACCCACTATAAAAGTTATAGTAGTAACTTTTAAATTTAATTTTATTTTTTGGTACTGGGAATTGAACTCATGACCTTGTGCTTACCAGGCAGGTACTTATACTGCTGAGCTAAATCCCTGGCCCCACTACCTTTAAAGAAAGTTAAGAAAATAAAACAAACTTTTATATCTTATGGAGTAAATTTTCCTTAACTAAAGCTGTGATTTTGGGATTGGCTTAATCTGAACATTTGATTCCATGGGACTGGGTTCTCAGCTCCATTGAATTCTTTCAGTTTAAAACTTGGTGGAGAGATAAAGCAGAATTGACTGCCTGACGCAAAGAACATGCTGACCCTTCAATCTCTCCCTCTGCCAACCAACTCACTGGGTCTGGAGACTGGTTTGGAATAAATCAACAGCTACAATATAATGATACTGCTATTGTTCAGGCAAGAATGTGCTGTTTAAAAGCATGGGAAGAGATTGCTCTCCCTGGACAAGTGGCTCCATCAGTGGTCAAAGTAGTCCAAAGTGCCAATGAACCTTAAGTAGAATTTATAGCTAGATTAACAGAAGTTTTTCAAAACACAGTGTCTCAGCTGGATTTGAGGGACTTTTTTTGCAAATGTTATCTTTTGACAATGTTAATTCAGAATGTAAATGGGTATTATGACTTTGAAAATCTTAGGGAGCCACTTTAGATGAATATATCAAAGCCTGTCAGGACATAGGGTCAGAAACTTTTAAGGCCAGATTGCTAGCAGCCACATTAAAAGAGACTGATCTATTTGCCCCAAAAACTACTAAATGTTTTGGATGTGGAAAGATTAACTATATGAGAAAGGAGCATAAGGCAGGAAAATCAAGAGCAGGAAGTCAAGATCTAAACCAGTAATACTTTTAGTCTTTCCATCAACACATTCATCTACAGCTAAATCATCACAAGAAGAAGCTGTGGTAGAATGGATTCTTCTTCCTACAGTGAACAAAAGAGGCTCACTATGTACAAGTATAAAATAGGCTTTCTGTATAAGGGACACTGTTGCTCATGGCACTTATCAGGAAAAGACCTCATATCTATTATTTTTGCCCTAACAAGACAGGAGATAGAACATGCTTTATCAATAAGTGAACAATGGTAAATGTCTTGCTGACTATATAGGAAAAATAGACAATCATTTTCCTAACTCTAAGTTTTTACAATTTCTTAAGTGGCATCCTTGGATTTTACCTAAAATTGTTATGTATGTTATGAACCTAGAGATGAAGCAGACACATATTTCACTAATGGTAGCAGCAATGGAAAAGCTAGATATGGGGGAAGGGTTTCTAAGGTGTGGCAAACTCTCTTCCATTCTGTACAAAGAGCATAACTTTTATTGTATGTTCTAGAATTGATTAATATTGTTACAGTCTCCTAATCTGTTTGGTTCACAGTCAACCAAAATAGCCACTTTGTATAATGCTAATGACCTGATCAATTGTTCTGTCAACTATAAATTGGTATTCATAACAGATTTTCCTATTTTTACAACTTATATCCATTCTCATTCACAACTTCCTGGTAATAGGGTTAAGTATAAAAACGAAGTAGATCATCTTGTTGCTGTCTCTTGAAAGACTTCTTTAGAGGAGGGGCTGGGCGGATCTGGGGCACCTGAATCAGCCTCCCTGTGTGTCTGGAGGACTGTGGATATCTCAGCAAGCAGGGGAGGATCGCAGGTTCCACAGGCACCGCGGCCTGTGGTGAGTGCTCAGCGCACTCTGCCCAAATCCCAGACTGTTCAGGACCCTCCAGAATTCTGGGTGCAGTGAAGTGGAGAAGTGCGTTTGAGGCCTCTACATCCACCTCCCCATCCCGGCTGCACTTAGAGAACTGCTGAGCTTCCAACAGGTGGGCGGACCCACGCTATCCCTGGAGCCCAGCCTGTTTGAGACTCCCGAACCTCACCATCGGTGTGCAGAGGAGGGGCTGGGCAGATCTGGGGCACCTGCATCAGACTCCCTGTGTGTCTGGAAGACTGTGGATGTCTCAGCGGGCAGTGGAGCATCGCAGGTTCCAGAGGCCCTGCAGCCTGTGGTGAGTGCTCAACGCACTCTGCCCAAAGCCCAGACTGTTCGGGTACCTCCAGGCTTCCAGGTGCAGTGAAGTGGAGAGGTGGGTTTGACGCGTGTATATCCGCCTACCACATCCTGGCTGCGCTTGGAGAGCTGTGGAGCTTCCAACGGGCAGGTGGGCACACAGTGTCCCTGTGGCCTAGTTTATCTGGAACCGCAGAGTTCTGAACAGGCGGAGGATGGCCATTGGTTCTGCAGGCCCAGTGGCTAGGGGTAACATGGTGCGAGAGACTCAGTAGCTGCAAACATAGAAGGGGATTTCCAACAGATCCTGAGGAAGCTTTCAAATAACACTTGAAACACAGAAATATAGGAAAATGACAAAACAAAAGACCAAATTACAACCTCAAACCTCCAGCCCATCTCAAGAAACCCTAGGAGCAATGTATATAGAAGAAAATATATGCCATTCACCTCAAATATCGGACACAATAGCTACTGAAATTAACAAGCAACTCCAGGAAGCTTTAAAGAAATTCAAATTCGAAATAATCTCCCAGGTAAAAGATGAAATGATAAAAGAAATGAAAGAGATTCTGAATATATCTAAAGAAAACACAGATAAAAAATTGGAGGAACTAAACAAAAAGATAAAATCCCTAGACGAGCAATATAAGAAACAAACAGAATACATAATGCAGATGCACAGAGATATACAGGAAATAAAAAACTCCACTGAAAGTTGTAAAAACCGCCTTAATGAAAGTGAAGATAGAATTTCAGACCTTGAAGACAGGATTGCAGCTAGTGAACAGGAAAGGAAAGATCTTTTAAAAATAACAAGGAATCAGGAAACAACAATTCAACAACTGCAAGACGATGTAAAGAAAAATAACATAAGAATGATAGGGATTAATGAAAAAGAAGGAGACAACATAAAGCATGTCAAGAGGATATTTAGAGAAGTAATAGCTGAAACTTTCCCAAGCATGAGATCAGAAACTGACATCAGGATCAGTGAAGCATGTAGAACTCCAAATACTCATAACCAAAATAAAACTACACCCAGACATATAATAATCATCATCCCAGAAATCCAACACAAGAATTGATTATTAAAAGCTGTCAGAGAGAAAAGACAGATCACTTATAAAGGAAAACCTATCAGAATCACAGAAGACTTCTCAACACAAACAATAAAGTCAAGAAGAGCATGGAGTGAAGTATTCCAGATCATAAAGCAAAATGATTTCCAACCAAGACTGATATATCCTGCAAAACTATCATCCAAAATTGATGGTGAAATACGATATTTCCATCACAAAGAACAGCTGAAGAACTTCATAAACACCAAACAAACCCTGCAAAAAATATTGAAAGACAGTTTAGATACACAAAGGAAAAAACCACTAAGCAAAGCAGATAATTAAACAGAACAGAAAGATAAACATGCAACAGCAGAGAGATAACATTCCTACAATTAACCAGCATTTAACAGTAATAACCATTAATGTAAATGGTCTCAATGCACCAATCAAAAGAAACAGACTAGCAGAATGGATCAAGAAACAAAATCCAAACATATGCTGTTTACAGGAAACCCATCTAACCCAGAAGGATACTCACAGACTGAAAGTCAAAGGATGGAAAACAATTCTCCATGCAGCAGGAATCCAAAAAACAGCAGGAGTAGCCATTCTGTTTGCAGACAACGTGAACTTTAAACGAACAATGACCATAAAGGACAAAGAAGGTCACTACATACTCGTAAGGGGAAAACTCCAAGAGGAAGAGATAGCTACCATAAATATATATGCACCAAACTCCAGAGCACCCAGTTATATAAAACAACTATTAACAGAAATGAAAACTCAAATTGTCAGTAACACAATTGTAACAGGGGTCCTCAATACACCATTGACACCAAGGGACAGATCAACCAGACAGAAAATGAGCAAAGAAATAACAGAACTGAATCACACCTGCAAACAAATGGATTTGATAGATATATACAGAATGTTCCACCCAACAACATCAGAATGCACATTCTTCTCAGCAGTACATGGATCATTCTCTAAAATAGACCATATATTAGCTCACAGAACATATTTAAACAAATGCAAAAGAGTTGAAATCATCCCTTGCATGTTATCGGATCATAGTGCTCTGAAATTAGAAATTAATGATAAAAGACACTGCAAAAATCCCGCTAAAACACTCTTGAGTAATCAGTGGGTCACAGAAGAAATTAAAGAAGAAATTAAACAATAGCTAAAAGAAAATGAAAATGCAGATACAACTTACCGGAATCTGTGGGATGCAATGAAAGCTGTCCTGAGAGGAAAATTTATTGCACTGAGTTCCCACATCAGGAAAACAGAACGAAAACAAATAAATAACTTGATGCTACACCTCAAACATCTACAAAAAGAAGAGCAAGTCAAGCCCAAAGCCAAAAGAAGAGATGAAATTATAAAAATCAGAGCAGAAATCAAGGCAATAGAGACTACAAAAACAATCCAAAGAATCAACGAATCAAACAGTTGGTTCTTTGAAAGAATAAATAAAATTGATAAGCCCCTAGCCAACCTTATTTTTAAAAAAGGGAACAAAAAGCTCAAATTCATGCAATAAAAAATGAAAAAGGTGAAATCACTACAGACCCAATAGAAATACAGAAGATCATCAACACCTATTTTGAAAACCTCTACTCTCAAAAGTTTGATAACACATATGATTCTTAGAAACATATGAAGTACCAAAGCTAGATCAAGAGGATGTAAAACTGTTGAATAACCCAATCACTGTTAATGAAATTGAAAATGTAATTAAGTCCTTACCTATAAGGAAGAGCCCAGGCCTAGATGGATTCACTGCAGAATTCTACAAGAAATACAAAGAAGACCTAATGCCAACACTCCTCAAACTACTAAATGAAATTGAAAGGGAAGCAATCCTTCCTAGGTCATTCCTGGAAGCAAATGTTACTCTAGTACCAAAACCTGAGAAAGACGCAACTAAAAAAGAGAACTATAGACCAATTTCCCTATTGAACACAGATGCAAAAATCCTCAATGAAATATTGGCAAATAGGATCCAGCAAATCATCAAGAAGATTATACACCATGACCAAGTGGGATTCATCCCAGGAATGGAAGGATGGTTCAACATAAATAAATCAATAAATGTAATCGACCATATCAATAAAGCCAAAAATAAGAATCACATGATCATTTCTATAGATGCAGAAAAAGCATTTGAGAAGGTCGAACACTTATTCATGATAAGAACTATACAGAAAATTGGAATAGATGGTCTTTACCTCAATATAATAAAGACCATTTATGACAAACCAACAGCCAGCATCATACTAAATGGCCAAAAATTGAAAGCCTTTACTTTAAAATCAGGCACAAGACAAGGATGTTCTTTATCACCACTCCTATTTAATATAGTACTGGAAGTACTAGCCAGAGCAATTAGGCGAGAGAGAGAAATAAAAGGGGTAAAGATAGGAAAAGAAGAAGTTAAATTATCATTGTTTGCAGATCACATGATACTCTACATAGAAGAGCCCCTAAACTCCATTGAAAGACTCTTAGATACAATAAATAAATTCAGTAATGTGGCTGGATACAAAATCAGTACTCAGAAATCAATACCATTCCTATACACGAACAACAAAATCACAGAGACAGAAATAAGAGAAACTACACTCTCCACATTAGCAAGCAAAAAAACGAAATATTTAGGAATTACTCTTACAAAAGAAGTGAAAGACTTATACAGTGAAAATTATAATACACTGAAAAAAGAAATTGAAGATGATCTCAGAAAATGGAAAGACATCCCTTGCTCATGGATAGGAAGAACAAACATTGTGAAAATAGCCATTCTCCCAAAACTGTTATACAGATTCAATGCAATCCCAATAAAAATACCATCAACATACCTCATAGATCTAGAGAAATCACTCGTAAAATTCATCTGGAACCAGAAGAGACCTAGAATAGCAAAGGCAATTCTAAGCAGCAAAGACAAAGCAGGAGGCATCACATTCCCTGACTTGAAGTTATACTACAAAGCAACAGTAGTAAAATCAACATGGTATTGGAATCAAAACAGAGCCGAAGATCAATGGAATAGATTAGAAGATACAACCACAACTACAAACACACTCAACCACCTTATCTTTGATAAAGGAGCCAAGCAGGTTCACTGGAAGAATGACAGTCTCTTTAATAAATGATGTTGGAAAAACTGGCTCTCCATTTGCTGAAAACTAAAGCTAGACCCATGTCGATCACCATGTACTAAATTAAAATCTATATGAGTCAAAGATCTGAATATTAAAACAGAAATACTAAATCTATTGGAAGACAAATTAGGTAGAAACCTTGAAGACATAGGAGTAGGTAGAGAATTCATGAACAGGATTCAAACCGCACAGCAAATACTTCCCAGAATCAATAACTGGGACCACTTCTTATTAAAAAGTTTCTGCATGTCAAAAGAAATCTCCAGCATAGTGAAACCAAAACCCACAAACTGGGAAAAGATTTTAGTGAACTCTCTCTCAGACAAGGGACTTTTGTCTAAAACATATAAAGAATTTTTAAAAACTCAGACCCCCAAAATTCAAAGATCTAATCCAAAAATGGGCATCTGAGATGAATATGCACTTCTCAGATGAAGAAATGCAAATGGCAAATAAATACATGAACAAATGTTCATCATCATTGGTCATTAGAGAAATGCAAATTAAAACCACACTGAGATACCATCTCACTCCTGAAAGAATGGCCAGGATCAAGAAAACCAACAACAACAAATGCTGGAGAGGCCGTGGGGAAAAAGGTACTCTCCTAAACTGTTGGTGGGAGTGTAGACTGGTGCAACCTTTGTGGAGGTCAGTCTGGAGATTTCTCAAAAAGCTGGGATTGGAAGTCCCACTTATTCCAGCTATTCCACTTCTAGGCTTATTCCCAGAAGAACTGAAAGCATCATACCACAGTGATATATGTGCACCTATGTTTATATCAGCACAATTTGTAATCGCCAGATCTTGGAAACAACCCAAGTGTCCATCAACTGAGGAATGGATAAAAAAGTTGTGGTATTTCTATACAATGGAGTATTTTTCAGCTATAAAGAAGGATCCCATTGAGATATTTATCAATAAATGGGCGCAGCTTGAGACCATACTCATAAGTGAAATAAATCAATCTCGCATGTGTGAATACCGAATAGTTTCCCTAATGTAAGTAATGATTCAAATATATAAAAATATGTGGTAATCATGATTCCCCATTATGTGGCCTTGAAGCCTTATAAAGTTTTCACTTATTAATTGGAAAGGCTTTATTCTGGGCTTCTTGATATGGAAATATTTGAAGCTATAGTAGATGAAGTTTTATTCAAATATTTCAAGGAAAAAGACAGACACTATGGTAACTACTATTAAGTCGGGTTATTTGGTGGTGAACCACTAGGTTGCTGAAACAGTCATGCTTTAACCTGTATTGTTATATTGTTATGTCCTCTTTTATCTCAATCTCTCCCTTATTCATTAAAAATTATTTAATTAATTCTTATGTTTGTTTTAATTAAGGGGAAAAATTTAAAAAATTACCAGGATATATAATAGTAACTTTTTTTGATTTCTTATTAACTTGTTTTAAAGTCCTGTAATACTCCCATGATCTTGTTTTGACTGATTAGACTCTGTTCCATTCTGTATGACAGTATCAAGTTTGAGGGTATAGGCAACTACTTTGAAGGCAATAAGATTCATTAAGATGTCCATTCTGGTTTGACTATTGTCTCCTTTGGAAGTCCTGTAATGTTTACAATGCTTAAGTTTTATTGGTCTTGTTCTCTACTGTTTTGTTCAACTTTATAATATCTAATGAGATAGACATTCTTTTTAAGGAAACAAGAGACATTGTTGCTAACCATTGTTGATAACCTTGTACTCTGTTTTACATCATGTGCTATGTCTATCCTTGGTTTTGACTGACAGCTTTGTTTTGCCATATTTGACTTTAGAGAAGTAATAGATGAAAATTTCCCAAACATGAGAATGGAAACTGACATCAAGATCAGTGAAACATATAGAACTCCAAATAGTTATAACCAAAATAAAACTACACCCAGACATAATAATCACCATCCCATAAATCCAACATAAGAATAGAATAATAAAAGCAGTCAGAGAAAAAAAACAGATTACCTATAAAGGAAAACCTATCAGAATCACAGTGGACTTTTCAGCAAAAAACAATAAAGTCAAGAAGACCATGGAGTGAAGTAAAGTAAAATGATTTCTAACCTAGATTGATGTACCCTGAAAAACTGTCCTTCAAAATTGAAGGAGAAATAAGATTCTTCCATGCCAAAAACAGCTGAAGAACTTCATGATCACCAAGTCAACCTTGCAAAGAATACTGAAAGTAAGCTTAGATATACTTAGGAAAAACACTAAGCAAAGCAGGCAATTAAACAAAATGGAAGATAAAGATGCAAGAGCAGAGAGATAACATGTCAACAATAAGCCAGTATATAACAGTTATAACCATTAATGAAAATTGCCTCAATTCATCAATTAAAAGAAACAGACTGGCAGAATGCATCAAGAAACAACATCCAACCATATACTGTCTACAAGAAACCCATCTAACCCAAAAGGATACTCACAGACTGAGAATCAAAGAATGGAAAACAATACTTCATGCAACAGGAACCCCCCCCCCAAAAAAAAAGAGGGAGTAGCTATTCTGTTTGCAGACAGTGTGAACTTCAAACCAAGAATGAGCAGAAGAGATAAAGAAGGTCATTACATATTGGTTAGGGGAAAACTTAAAGAGAAACAAATAACAATCTTAAATATATATGCACCAAATTCCAGAGCACCCAGTTATATAAAGCAAATATTAATAGAAATGAATAACTAAATTAGCAATAAGACAATTATAACAGGAGACCTTAACAAACCATTGACACCAAGGGACAGATCAACCAGACAGAAAATCAGCAATGAAATAACAGAACTCAATCACATTGTGAACAAATGGACTTGATAGACATATACAGAATGTTCCAACATCAGAATACACATTCTTCTCAGCAGTACATGGAACACTCTCTAAACTATACCATATACTAGCCACAGAACATATTTAAATAAATGCAAAAGAGTTGAAATTGTCCTATGCATGTTATCAGATCATAGCACTATGAAACTAGAAATTAATGATAAAAGAAACTACAAAAATCCCACAAACACACTGAAATTGAACAACATATTCTTGAGCAATCAGTGGGTCACAGGGGAAATTAAAGAAGAAATTAAACACCTACTAGCAAATGAAAATACAAATACAACTTACCAGAATCTGTAGGATGCAATGAAAGCTGTCCTCAGGGAAAATTTATTGCAGAGTTCCCATATCAGGAACACAGAACTAATAAAAATAAATAACCTGATGATGCACCTCAAATATCTAGAAAAAGAAGAGCAAGTCAAGCACAAAGCCAAAAGAAGAGCAGAAATTATAAAAATCAGAGCAGAAATTGATGAAATAGAGACTAAGAAAAGAATCCAAAGAATCAATGAATCAAAGAGTGGATTCTTTGAAAGATTAAATAAAATTCATAAGTCCATAGCCAACCTTATTTTAAAAAGAGAACAAAAAGCTCAAATTCATGCAATATGGAATGAAAAAGGTGAAAGCACTAGAGACTCTATAGAAACACAGAAGATCTTCAACACCTATTTGAAAACCTCTATTCTCATAGGTTTGATAACACAGAAGAAATAGACAGATTCCTATAAACATATGAAGTGTCAAAGCTATATCAAGAAGATGCAAAAGTGCTGAATAACCCAATTTCTATCAATGACATTGAAAATGTAATTAAGTCTTGACCTACAAAGAAGAGCCCAGGCCCAGATGAATTCACTGTGGAATTCTACAAGAAATGCAAAGAAGACTGAATGCCGATACTCCTCAAACTCTTCAATGAAATCGAAAGGGAAGCAATCCTTCCTAAGTCATTCCTGGAAGCAAACATTACTCTAGTACCAAAATCTGAGAAAGACTCAACTAAAAAAGAGAACTACAGGCCAATCTCTCTAATGAACATGGATGCAAAAATCCTCAATAAAATGTTGGCAAATAGGATGCAGCAAATCATCAAGAAGATTATACACCATGACCAAGTGGGATTCATTCCAGGCATGCAGGGATGGTTCAACATACATAAATCAATAAATGTAATCCACCATATCAATAAAGCCAAAAGTAAAAATCACATGATCATTTCTATAGATGCAGAAAAACCTTTAGATAATGTCCAACATTCATTCATGATAAGAACCTTACAGAAAATTGGAATAGATGTTCTTTACCTCAGTATGATATAGGCCATCTATGACAAACCAAGAGCCAGCATCACATTAAATAGCCAAAAACTGAAGGCCTTTACGTTAAAATGAGGCACAAGACAAGGAAGTTCCTTCTCACTGCTCCTTTTTAAATAGTACTGGAAAACTAGCCAGAGCAATTAGACAAGAGAGAGAAATAAAAGGGGTAAAGACAGGAAAAGAGGAAGTTAAATTATCATTATTTGCAGATAACATGATACTCTACAGAGAAGGCCCCCAAAATTCCATTGAAAGACTCCTTGATATAATAAATAAATTCAGCAATGTAGCTGTCTATAAAATCAATCCTCAAAAATCAATAGCATTTCTATACACTAATGACAAAATCACAGAGAGAAATAAGAGAAGCCACACCCTTCACACCAGCATCCAAAAAAATGAAATGTTTAGGAATTATTATCATGCAAGAAGTGAAAGATCTATATAGGTAAAATTATAATACACTGAAAAAAGAAATTGAAGAAATCTCAGAAAATGGAAAGACATCCCTTGCTCATGGAGAGGAAGAACAAACATTGTGAAGATGGCCATTCTCACAAAACCGTTATACAGATTCAATGCAATCCCAATAGAAATACCATCAACATACCTCATAGATTTCGAGAAATCACTCCTCAAATTCATCTGGAGAGAGAAGAGGCCTAGAATAGCAAGCACAGTTCTAATCAGCAAAGGCAAGGCAGGAGGCATCACAATCCCTGACTTGAAGTTATACTACAAAGCAACTGTAGTAAAATCAACATGGTACTGGAATCAAAACAGAGCTGAAGATCAATGGAATAGATTACAAGATACAACCATAAGTACAAACATACTCTATCACCTTGTGTTTGATAAAAGGGCCAAACATGTTCACTGGTAGAACGATAGTCTCTTTAATAAATGGTGTTGGAAAAACTGGCTCTCCATATGCCGAAAACTAACACTAGACCCACGCCTATCACCATGTACTAAATTAAAATTTAAACGGATCAAATATCTGAATATTAAAACAGAAATACTAAATCTATTGGAAAACAAATTGGATAAAAACCGGGAAGACATAGGAGTAGGTAGAGAATTCATGAACAGAAATCAAACCACACAAGAAATACTTCCCCTGAATCAATAACTGGGATCATGTCTTATTAAAAAGTTTCTGCATGTCAAAAGAAATCTCCAGCATAGTGAAACCAAAACCCACAAACTGGGAAAAAATTTTAGTTAACTGTCCCTCAGACAAAGGGCTTTTGCCTAAAACATATAAAGAATTTAAAAAACTCAGACCTCCAAAATTCAAAGATCCAATCCCAAATGAGCATCTGAAATGAATACACAATTCTCAGAGGAAGAAATACAAATGGCAAATAAATACATGAAAAAATGTTCATCATCATTAGTCATTAGAGAAATGCAAATTAAAACCACACTGAGATTCCATCTCACTCCTGAAAGAATGGCCAGGATCAAGAAAACCAACAACAACAAATGTTGGGGAGGCTGTGGGGAAAAAGGAACTCTCCTGCACTGTTGGTGGGAGTGTAGACTGGTGCAACCATTGTGGACGTCAGTTTAGAGATTTATCAAAAAGCTGGGGTTGGAAGTCCTATTTGTTCCAGCTATTCCACTTCTAGGCATATTCCCAGAAGAACTGAAAACATCATGCCACAGGGATATATGTGCACCTATGTTTATAGCAGCACAATTTGTAATAGCCAGATCTTGGAAACAACCTAAGTGTCTATCAACTGAGGAATGGATATAAAAGATGTGGTATTTTTTACAATGGAGTACAATTGAGCTATAAAGAATGACCACATTGAGATATTATAAAGAAATGGATGCAACTTGAGACCATATTCATAAGCTAAATAAATCAAACTCACATGTATAAATACCGAATAGTTTCCCTAGTGTAAGAAATGGCAAGAATACATAAAAGTATGTGGTAATTATGATTACCCATTATATTGTTTTGAAGCCTTATAATGTTGTCATTCATTAGTTGGAATGGTTTTATTCTAGGTTGTTTGGTTTTATTGTCTGTGACGGTATAAACAGCTATTTTGAAGAAAACAAGACATCCTAATAGCTAATGCTGGTTTAATTTCATCTTGTTTGAAGTCCCATCAAACTGTTGTTCTTCTGTCTCCATCAGTTTTATCATGTTGTATCTTATTGGATTTTACTATATGTGATAGTATAAACAAAAATTTTCATGGACAAGGAGATATTATAGAAACCATTGTTTATTTTCTGTTAGTTGGTTCTCGGTACCCCGTAATACATTAATTCTCTTGAATGGTTTTACACTATCTTGTTATGTTTGGTACTATAGTGTATGAAGGTATACTCAAATATTTCAAGGAAAGAGACACTATGGTAGCTACCGTTATGTTGGGTTGACTTGTGGTGAAACACTATGTTGCTTAAATTGTTCTGTTCTGACCTGTTTTGTTATGTCCTCTTTTATCTTAATCTTTTTTTAAATAAAAAATATTCTATTCCTATACTGAATTCCTGAGATCTTGATTATCATATGTCTGGGTGTAGATTTATTTTGGTTATGGCTAATTGGGTTTCCATTTGCCTCACTTATATGTATGTTCGGTTATTTTTCCATGTTTGGGAAATTTTCTGCTATTACTTCTGCAAATTTTTTTATGTCACGTTTGTTGATTCCTTCTTTTTTATTGACACCAATCATTATATTACTTTTCTTTGCTTCAACTTGTAGCTGTTGAATTGCTTTTCCCTGATAATTTGTTGTTTTCAAAAGTTCTGTTCTTTCATGATTAGTAACCATGATTCTGTCTTTGAGGTCTAAAAATCTGTCTTCAGTTTCATTAAAGTGATTTTGCCAGCTTTCAATGGAATTTTTGATTTCCTAGATATCTGGTTGAATTCACTTCATGAATTCTATTAATTCCCTGTATTGATCATTAACAATTTTTATCCTATTCCTACCAACATCTATTCTCTTATCTATATCTGGTCTAGATTTGCTGAGCATTTCCTTTAAAAATGTTGACATTTCTTTCTTAACATGATAGAGTATTTCTGACCTGATTTCCTCTATAACCTCATGGGTTTGTTTCTTTACTTCAGTTCCTATCATTTCTAAAATTTCAAGTGTGTCTCTCTCAATTTTGTGTATATTGATGTCTCCTAGACTTGTTCTGGGTGAGCTGGACATCTGAGATCGCTTTTTGCTTTTTCATCTTGTCATTTTCTATTTCAAAAAATTTTATTTTGTTTTCTGTGGTGATTCTTGTGAGTTTTTTGTAGCTAGTAATTTGTAATAGCTAAATCTTGGAAACAACCCAAATGCCCATCAAGTGCCGAATGGATATAAAAGATGTTATTTTTACACAATAGAGCACTACTCAGCTATAAAAAGGAAAAGCTCAAGACTTTTATAGGTCAATTGATGCAACTTGAGACCATACTCATATGTCAAAAAAGTAAGACTTGCATGTGTAAACATCATATTTTCTCAATGGAAAAAAACTGCAAGAGTAAATAAGATCTAAAGTATACAATAGACACTGTAAAAGTGAAAGGTGGAGAAACTGCTTAAAAAGGAAAGAACAACTGGGATGGGGGAAAGGTAAAAAGAAAGAAGGGATCATACACATATGGTAATTGTAATAACCTCTGTTCATCAAAAAAGAATGGTTTGTTTCTAATTATTTTGGTACTGGGAATCAAGTCCAGGACCTTGTGCTTGCCAGGCAGGCACTGTGCCACTGAGCTACATCTCTGGCCCAAAAAGAACAGTCTGTGCTTTCACTGTTTGATCATTTTTTTCTTGTAATCTGAGCAACTACTTTGAAGACAGCAATACACAATATAGTAACCATTATTAATTTCCTATTGTGCTGATTTGAAATTCTGTATCATTGTTTTCATTACTTTTTTGTTTTAAAACTGAAAAAAAAATGTTTCACCAAGGGAAAAGACTTCTCTGTGTTCTAAGACTGCCTCATTGAATGCCCATGAGACACCTGCTTGGTTACTTCTAGAATTTTGTTATATACCTATGTTAAAAATTCTATAGCCTTCATTTTACTCCTCAATTTATGTCTAATTGCTATTCCTCTGATGATATTTTTCTTATTCCATCTCTCTGATTCGAGTCCTCCTCTTTCTAATTCATTTAACACACTGAAAGCACAACTCTGACTTTGTCATTTCCTGTTTAAAAAAAAACAGCTTCTTATAATCCTTACCTGGAAATCACAGAAGAAATAACCAAAACACAGATCAACAAATCCTTATTCAAAGTTACAAAACAAAAAAAGAAAGGAAAAGAAAAAAACCGTATCAGTGCAATTAGAAAAGAAAGAGATGAAAACACAACCAACTCTGTGGAAATCCAGAGGATTATAAGAAAAAAATTATTATATTCCAATGAGTTAGAGAACTTAGAAGAAATTCGGAGACACCTATGGATTATCAAATTGAGCCAAGAAGATATAAAAATTCTCAATGGACCAATAACATGCAATGAAATAGAGGCAGTATTAAAATATCTACTAACATTTAGAAGCCTATGTATTGATAAATTCAATGAAGAAGTCTACCTGAATTTCAGGAAAGACCTAAAGCCAATACTCTGAAAACTCTTAATTGACATTAAAAGAGGACTAATGTTATTCCTGTAAGCTAGCATTACCCTGATAGCAAAATGAGAAGAGGACTTAACAAAAATAGAAAACTCCAGGCCAACCTCCTTAATGAACTGTTACGGTGTCAACCTGAGAAGTCTAAAAGCTTAACTAAGTAACTGAGAAGCTCTACACCCTGAGGTGTAGAGGACATATCCTTACCACTGTAGCATGTTGTTCATTGTGTCAACTCCAGAAGTTCAGAAGTTTAACTAAGTGATTCAGCAAGTCAAGGTCCTCCCTTCATAAACATCCTGAGCCTGTGCAAGAGGAGGACAGGAGATGGTGTGAGTGTTACACTCACCAGGGAGCGGGTAGGGTATCATGCTTACCATATAAGAGAGGAAAAGAGGCTTTCTCTCCTCCCTCCCTTGTTACTTTTGTTGCTTTTGCTTCTTCTGCCACCTTGAAGTGTTGCCCCTGTGCCATGCAACTCTGCCTTGGAGCCAGCTGATTACAGACTGAAACCTCCACAAACCGTGAGCTAAATAAATCCTACCCTCCTTAATTTTGGGTGTTAGGTATTTTGTCTCAGCAATGAGAGAAAAGTAACCAGGACATGAACATAGCTGCAAAATACCTTAACCAGGTATGTGGAAACAGTCTGCCACAAATTAAAAAGATCACACATCATCAGATGGTTTTGCCTCGGGAATACAAGGTTGATTGAACATATGGCAATCAAAATTAAACCAGTAAACCACATAAACGGAAGCAAGGATAGAAGTCAAAATTTCCTATCAATAGCTGCCAGAAAAGGCTTTGACAAAATCCAACATCCAATCATGATAAAAAAAAAAACAGGTATATAAAAACTCTTTCTCAGACTGATGAAGGTCATTTATGACAAACCCACTGCCAAAATCATCAAATGAAGAAAAATTGAAAGCTTTCTCTCTAAACTAAAAAACAAGACAATAGTGTACACTATCACCACTCCTTTCACTCTAGCACTTTACACTTTAGCCAGAACAATCAGGCAGAAGAAAGAAATAAAAGGGATACACACAAGATAGGAGGAGCTCAAATGTCCCTGTTACTAGGAGTCAGTGCTTTGTGCTCTTCTGGCTCCATCTTTTTAAATGACCTTGTCCCACCCAGGCCATGCTCCCTCCAGCCTGTCTCTCCTGTCTGTGAGAAGATCCACCATGCCTCTGTTGGACTACTGTTTTCCCAGGGGTGTTTCTTTTCCCAGGGTACTAGGAGGTGCTGTCTCCTTAATCACAGATTACATGATCCTTCATATGGAAGACCCAAAAATTACATTTAAAGTTTTCTATAACAAAATCAATAAAGAACCAGGACACAAAATAAATACACACAAAAAATCAATAGTTTTCTCATATACCAACAAGGAAACTATTAAGAGAGAAATTTGGTAAATAATCTCATTCATAGTAGCTTCAAAAAATGAAATACACATGAACTAACCTAACCAAGGAAGTAAAAGATCTCTAAATTAAAACTATAGTACCCAAAAAAAGGAGATGAAACAGCACTCCAGAAAATGTACGGACATCTCCTGTTCCTGGATAGGCAGGACCAGTAATGTCAAAATGGCCAAATTACCAAAAATGACATCTCGATTTAATGCAATTTGAATCAAATGCCAAAGGCATTCTTCACAGAACTAAAAACAATCCTAAAATTTATATGGAATCAGTTGAGATCTAGAACAGCCAAAGCAATCCTGGGTAACAAGAGCAAAGCAGGAAGCATCACAATCCTGGATTTCAAATTATATTACACATCTATAGCCATATAAATAGGATGATACTGGACCCAAAACAGAATGTGGATCACAGAAGAGAGGGTGCAGAAACAACCCAGGCACATGCAGCCATGTGATCTTTTATAAAGGGGTGCAAAATGTATGTAGTAGACAAGATGGCCTTTTCAGGCAAATGATGCTTGGAAAACTGGGCATCTGTATGCAGAAGAATGAATTTAGATCCATATATTTCATGCTGTAATAAAATCAAATCAAGAGGGATAAAACCCTAGGTATTAAAATAGAAGCACTGACTAAACTGGAAGACAAAATAGGTTAAACTCTTGAAGACATAAACATGGGCAAGGACTTTCTGAACAGAAATCCCAATTCCACAAGAAATTGCAAATGGTGGGACTAATAATATTATATAAAATTAAAAACCTTCCACAAAGCAAAGCAAACATCCAGTAAGTGAAGAGACAACCTATAGAATGGGAAAGACATTTTCCAGCTACTCACTAGATGACTAAAACCTAGAATATATAAAGAAATAAAAAATTAGCCTCAGTAAATAAAATACTTTTCCAAAATCAGAAATGGAAATGAATATACATTTCTCAGAACCGTGAATGACCAGTGTACACATGAAAAGATATTCGGTATCTTTTATTACTAGAGAAACGCAAATCAAAACAACCCTGACTTTCCCTTTTACTCCATAAAGAATGGATATTATCAAGAACTCAAAAAGCAAGTGCTGGAGAGGCTGTGGGGAAAAGGAATCCTCCGTTGTTGGTGGGAACATAAACTGGTAAGACCACTACGTAAATTAGTACAGAGATTTACTCAAAAACCTCAAAAGACAAGCCCTTCCTGCAAGTCAGTGCCATGCGCAGGCCACTGGGGAGAGAATCAGATGGCAGACTCTTGGCGCATGAGTTGGGAGACAAGAAGGGTCAAGGCCAGTGTCCCGCCTCCCTTAAGCGACTGGCTGATCTCGAGAAACACAGCCTGCAATGATAGCTTTGATACAGCTTCACGCTTACAGTGTTTGGTGTTTCACTGACTTTGCAGGCCTCAGGATAACAGTACCCAATGTAGCATCTATGAGGCATCTCCTTCTGGAGGTGGTATTCATTGTCGATTTCCTATTTTCTTGTTTTGAAGTCCTGATTCATTTTCATTGTTTTGTTGGGTTGGATTTTACTGTTTCGTCTTGTTTGATTTTGCTATATCCAGTGGCATGGGCAGCTATTTCAAAGATAACTAGATATATTATGGTAGCCATTTTGGATTTACTACTGTCTTGTTTTGAAGTCCTGTATTGCATTCGTTGTTTTATTTTTATTGGTTTTATTCTGTTCTGTTTTGTTTGAATTTTGCTATGTCTGAGGGTATGGGCAGCTATTTTGAAGACAATAGGAGGCATTATAGTAACCATTGTTGATTTCCTGTTATCTTATTTTGAAGTCTTGTGTCACAGGTTTTTTTGTTGTTGTAGTTTTGATTGGCTTTATTCTGTTTTGCATTGCTTCGTTTTACTCTCTTTAAAATAAAAATTACAAAAAACAAAAACAAAACCCCTCAAAAAAGAAATTCCATTTAACCCAGCCACGCACCTTCTGGGTATTTTCCCAAAAGGAATTACAGATATCATATTACAGTGATACCTGAGCACCCATTGCTATAGCAGTGCTCACAATATACACAACAGAGTTGTACTGGGCCATTGTTATGGTTTGTGTCTAGGTGGATGCCCCTCATGCAGTGATGCAGGTGGCAGAATCTAGTGATTGTGATTGGTTCTTTGTCTAGTGCTGGGATTGGTGATGTGAGGCTCCACCCACCCAGGGACCCAGCCAGCACACAATATAAGGAAGAGAAGAAGGCGGGCCTATCCTCTTTTTGTCCCTTTTATTCTGCTGCCACTGTGATTGGCTGCCCCTTAGCCACACCACACTGCCTTGGAGCCAGCTGAGTATGGTCTGAAACCTCCAACAAACCTTTCTTTTCTTCATTTTGGGCATCAGCTATTTTGTCTCAACAATGAGAGAAAGTAACCAAGACAGCCATGAACAATACATTTTGTCATTAGTAGGAAAATGGATGCACTTTGAGTTCATAATGTTAAGTGAAACAAATGAGACCCAGCAGGTTAAGTATCACATAGTTTCTCTTACATGAAAAACTAAGTATAAACAAATTAAAAGGCAAAATAAAAAAATAGGGGATAGGCAGATGGAAAGGTGACCCAGGGACGGAAGGGGAGAAAAGGGAAGGGAAAGAAGGAGAAAGAAAAGGATTAAAATGTAGTAACTATATGTACCAAATCTCCATAATGAACGCATTCATTATTGATAGGTCCTGCCAGTCTGGGGCTTAGCTATATCCTCCCAACTTGGAACGGAACCCAGAGAAACAATTTATCTCTTCAAGACTACTATGTTCTCATTCCAGAGATAAACCTCCCGCTCCCTTTCTGCACGTGCTCCAAGCCCTCTGCAACCCCAAGACTCCACAATACCCAAGCCTCCACCTCCAGCCCCCACTAAATCTTTCTGTCTCCTGTTTTGCACAGACAGATACGCCTTCAAATCAGTGGTTAATATGTCGTGCTGTCCACCTCCCAAACTCCTCCCCAGCCGGAACTGAATACAGTAGTGCCACGTCTTCCTTCTCACCTAGAGCCTCTGTATCCCTGCCCTGTGAAGCTTGCCCATGCCTTCAATAAAGGCCTTCTCCTTTGTCTCCTAATCTCTCTCATTTTCTCTGTGCTGCTTCAGATTGAGTGCCCCAAATACTTAAGTATGTATCACAAATAAATACCAATGAAAACAATTTTAAAGAAAGTAAACAAACAAAGATAAAAGAAAACGATGTCTTGTAGATTTATATTCCTACACACTACTGGCAGGATCCTGCAATGGTTGCCAACCATCTTTCTGGTTGTGGATATTTTCACCTAATTACTTTCCCTAAACTCGTCACCTCCAACATCTATGGGGTGTCTAAGAGGAGCCCCATGTCAGTCTCCAAACTCGTGCTCTGGGCTCAGCCTGCAGGGACCGCTCTCAGCCCAGCGACCAGCTCCTTCCTGACATGCCCCTGGCCCACACGGCCCAGCAGAGGACCGCTCCCAGTCCAGGCCCAGTCTGCCCACCAGATCCTCGCTGCGTCCTGCAGAGCAGAGAATCGCCCCGCCCCCACCTCTGCGCATGCGCGCTGCCAGTCTGCTCCTCCAGGGCTCTCACCTCGCACAGCGGACGCCCTGCTGCTGCTCCCTCCTCCCCCCCCCCCCCAGCTCTGTTGTCTCAGGTGACTGTGTCCGGTGCTGTCCGCAGGAAAGCCCCGAGGTGGCGCTGCCCGCCCGCGGCCTCACCTCGGCGCTGCACCGTCAGGGGGGCCTCCAGCTCATAGTTGTATCTGCACACGGAGTCCAGCTCGGCGCGCCTCTCCTCCAGGAAGTCCTTCTGGCTGTTCCAGTACTCGGCGCTCGGCCGCCCCAGCTCGGTCACCGCGCGGAACTCGCCCACGGCGCTGTCGTAGCGCACGAACTCTTCGCGGTTGTAGATATATCGCTCCACCAAGCGCTGCGTCCCGTTGCGCGCGTAGCACTCCCACCGTCTCAGGTACACGCAGTTCTCTGCGGGGAGCAGGGGCAGCGCTGACGAAGTGTCCGGGGTCCCCGGAGCCCGCGACCCCACCTGGGGCGGAGCACCGAGCCGCGATTCCTCCCTTGGCCCCTGAGGCCGCTTCACGGGCCTGGACCCGCGCCTTTGCGTTCCTGGACCCCGGCTTGCCCTGACCACGGCTAACAACTGGCCCGCCAGAACCTTCCCACTCGAGGCTGAGTCTTGAACCACCGAGTCCCGTGGGCCTAGGCTGACCCTGAACCTTTCCTCTCGCCCTCAGACCCTTTCTTTTTCTTTGAGGCAGGGTCTCACCGAGTCGCTGAGTTGCTAAATTAGTTGCCTGGACTGCACTCCAGCTTGCAGTCCTCCTGCATCAGCCTCCCAGAGAATCAGGATTACAGGCGCACACCACGAACCTTCCTGGGCTTTTCTTTCCTGGGTTTTGTCATCCCTACATGGGAGGTTACTAAACAGGTGACACCCTGCCGAGAAGGCTTCAGTGGCTTGGAAAGGAGGGCCTGCCTGGGCCAGCAATGGTGCCATGGTGCCAGGGCTGAGGCAGCCAGAGCTACTTCCCGTGGATCCCTAAGGAGCAGGGCCTCACGGGTCCCTGGACAGAGAAGCTGCAGGGGCAGCAGGGGCTGGGAAGGCACAACCAGGCTGTCTCTCTGTCAGGGTCCCCACCTGACCCACGGGGCCACACCCAGCTCAGATGTCCCCTCCTCAGGGAAGCCTTCCTGGCCTCTTTCTCTTCCCCACCGTGGTGCGCTCCCTTCTGGGTCAGTGTCTTTAATACACCGTTTACTCTGTGTTTTGCAAGCTGGGAATTAGACACAGATTTCCTGCCAACCTTCTGAACCTGAATGTGAAAAAAGGCTGCCCAGCCCGATGGGTAAGGCTCGTTCTCACTCACTTTTCAAGCTTGGCTACAGAAAGACATGATCTCAGAAGGTCTGGAAAGTATTTAATGAGTGAGGTCATCGCAAGCAGAGACCCCTGAGCTGGGCGTCCTTGCTGGAAGACCCAGCTGCCCTGACCCTGGAATTCCCCACATGGAGGAGTGTGGCCGCCTCCCCCAAACGCTGTTCTTTCCTTTCAGGGCCACAGAGTCTGGCAAGTGCAGAAGTCACAGTTAGCTTCTGCAGGGCCCCTGGGCCTGCTGTGTTCCTGACCACACTGGAAATTAAGGTGACCTCTGTGCATGTGAACTCCATCTGCACAAATGCACATCTCAACGCAGATTCTGTTCTATGTCCAATATCTGAGAGTTCTCAGTAAATGTTTCCTCATAAGTGAAGCAAAACAAACCATTAGAGGGAGCGCTAACGAAATTTATGAAGTGTGTTTTTAAACACAGCGATCTTTGACACTTCACTGAAAAGTATATCAGAAGTTTTCTTATTTATTTATTTTTTGGTACCAGGGATTGAACTCACAACCTTGCACTGGCCAGGCAGGTGCTTGTGCCACTGAACTAAATCCCTGACAATATAGCACAAGTTTAAATGCCAAATCCAATCAATTGCACAGTTTCTGAGGCTGCACAGTGTATAGTTGTGGTGCGCCGCAAATGTGCTATGCGTAGGATGCTTTCGATTCTCACTGTGCCTGGCTTTTCCTAGCAATTTACTTGGGAATAAAAATGACAGAAGAGCAAGTCACAGGGAAGGCTGGAATGCACAGTAAGATTCTGCTGGAGGCCAGGTGAGGTGACAGGGGCAGGGGTGCGGCCTGAAGACCTGGCAGGGGTGTGAGGTGAGGGAGACCAGGCCTTAGAGAGCGCACATTAGGTCTCCCAGAGTCAAAGCTTGTGGTCCCCCTCTGGTTCTGCTGTGTGGCTTCTTCCTGGGGTGATCTCTTTACCCCAGCCCTATAGCAGGGGAGCTCAGCCATATCCCCCTGCTCTCTCCTGCCTTTCCTGTGCTGTTTAAGGCTGGAAATCTACACTGAGTGGTGAAGTGTGAGGGGCAGTGTAGTCCGCTCTCCCTGCACCCCCCGCTGCTCTGGAAGTTTTTACTGAAGATTTGCTCTGGGTGGAAGTTACCTTCAGTGCTGTTCACAAACCTGTATGTCTGCGTTCCAGTCCTCCTACCAGTGTCCATCCACCACTCCCCTCCCACTGTCTGCTCCAGCTTGGTGGTTTCCTACCCCACTCCCCCTGCCTGTTACCCCACAAAACTACTCTCACTGAGGGACGCTGACACTGCCTCCCACCCCTGCAGGCTTTTAGTGTCCTCTATAACCTCCAGGCTCCTTCCCCAGGCTGCCTGTCTCTGTGATTCCTAGGATGAGGAAGGCACAGTTCCCACTCAGCTGTGCTGATGTTGGGGCTCAGTGTCCTTTGTGCCCCCCAAGAGTAAGTGCTCCCCACCCTCCCAGCAGGTGGACCTGAGGCAGCAGCAGAGGCCCTGGGGTTTGAGGAGCTGGACTCAGGAGGTTGAAATACAGCTGTCCCAGGAAAATGAGGTGAGATGAGTGTATTTAGGAGAGGTGCGGAGGGTCTGAAAGAAGAAGGCTCTGTGAGGGAAGGGGGAGTTCATGGAAAACTGAGATAATTACTTTACAGCCCTGCCTCCTGTGGTGCTGGGCACAAATTTGAACTAGAAAGATCAAAAGCAACCGAGAAATGCTGACTCACAGAAGTCCTGTATGTTCTAGCCACAGTGGGGCAGCGTGAGGAAGAGCCCTTCCTTTAGTCTCACCTTCCCGATCCTCCCTCCTCAGTCCCTTTCCTCACCCCACACCCCCTCATCGCATTCTCTCTGCAAACCTCACCACTGTGGACCTGGGCAAGCTGCAGGGAGGCTGGAAGAGTCCCCTCGAGGAGAACGGACTCAGAGCAGGACCATGGCCCATCCATCCCTTCCTCTCCATCTCTGCCCCACGGCACAGGCTACGTCTCCACTCTGGGCACTGAGTGGGCAGGGTGAGCTTAGTCCTCAGGGCTGGGATGCAAATGTGAGGAGGCCCCGAAGCCCATCTGGTGTCTGGAAACCCTGTCCCCCAAAATTATTCCAGGTTTCTTGGCCCACTGTCCACAAGAAGCAGGCACATCACCCCCTTGGCAGCTGTCCCCTGCCCAGGAGCCTGTGTCCCGGGAAAGAACTGACTGGCTGGATGGAAAGCAGGAGGTGACTTGATTCTCTAGCTGGTAAGGAAGGACTTGGGCTGTGGCAGGAGAACCCACAGCTGTTCTCAAAGTCTGGTCCCCAAGCAGAAAGTCCCCAGCAGTGACTCCCTGAGCCCGGCCCTCCAGCAGTGGCTGCTCTGCTCTTACCTGGATGGGTCCTGCTCTGAACCACGGTGCTGCCCAGCACTAGCAGCACCACGGTCAGAGCCGATATCCAGGGGGCCTCAGGGACCTGTGGAGCCATGCTGGGGTGGAAACTGCTGGTGAACAGAGAAAGCAGTTTTCAGGGAATGAAGGACTCACTCAGTGGAGCTCCTGTGTGAAATGTCAGAGACCATGAGTCACAGTAGTCTCCTGAGACCCTGTGATTGGACAGACTCTGAGCAAAGAACCAATGGGCACAGAGCTTCCTGTGAGTCATCACTCACTGGGCAGAGGGTTAGCTTGAAAGGTCTGGCAGCTTAGTGTATATTGCCCTGAAGGTTTCAGAGGGAGGAGAGCATTGTCACTTTAATTATGTCTGTAGATCACGGGGTTTTGGAAGATTGCTGTTCTCTTTGATCTTAAAGTGATCTCTAATATTCTGTCATACTGTAGTTACTGCTCTTTATTTTACAAATGAGTGCCCGGATGCCAGCCCAACACGCACTCCTGGCTGCTTTTGGTTCTAAGCACAAAAGGCCAGTCTCAAGGGCCAGCTGAATCTCCTGAAGGAAGGGCAGGTCTCCTGGAACAGGATCACGGTTGTCAGGGTTGGGGCTGCAGGTACAGACTGTGCCATCAGTGGAGGACCTTAATGGAGGATGGACAGATGAAGCTGCCATTGCTAACGTCATGGAGACAAACTGACAGCAGAGATGACGGATATGCAGCACGGCAGCCTTTTTCATAGAACACCAAAACTGTCTCTGGCAAACTCCAAGCGGGTTATTACCACAGCTGGGTAATATTACCACAGCAGCAAGAGGGAGAAGCCATCTTAAGTTGGTCCCGTGTAATGGGAACATCTTTATCATATTCCTGATGCTGTAAAGCACAGCCCCAACTGTGAGTTGTTTGTTGTTTCCAACTCAGTGGATCTCTTGCCTTTTCTGGCTGGTAAGATAAGTGGCTTTCCTGAAAAACGTGAAATTGGAAGTGGTTGCAATCTGGATTCAACTTGGTTTCTTTACCTGATGGAGGAAGGAAGGGAGTTTTCCCACAGAGCTGCCATGGGTGGGTCCTGGGGGAGCATGGAGAGTCCAATGGGCCTGTGTGGAGTGAATGCTGCTCGTGTCTCCCTGAGGGATCTGCACCCCGAGTTGGCACTGAGGGGGATGAGGAGCATTGGAAAGAGCTTCACAAACAGGTGGCTGACAGTGCTTACAAAGTGACAGAACTAAAAGGCCACACATCCCGGGTCATTGGACTGTCTGTGACTGATATGGCAGCAAGCATAATGAAGAATGTTAGAAGGGAGTATCCAACCTCTACCATGATTAAAGGTCTGTGTGGTGTAGAGGATGATGTGTCTCTTAATGTACCTTGTGTCTTGAGACAAAATGGGATATCAGATGTTGTGAAGGTGACTCTGACTCCTGAAGAAGAGACCAGTTTGAAGAAGAGTGTGGATCCCCTGTAGGAGATTCAAAAGAAGCTGCAGGTTTAGTCTTCTGAAGTCACCATGTCAGTGTCCAGGCCCCTAGAAGACTTAGTAGGAGGGGGTGCATATTGTCCTCTTCATTTGATCTGTGGTAAAGAAGTACTATTGATCTGGTCTGGGAAAATCATCTATCCTCCAAAGTTAGAAATACAAATGGTTCATAAATCCCCACAGTTCTGTCCTGATGCTGGATGGCACTTAACCTGTGCAGTCCCATTGGTACCATTGCCAGTGTCACAGGCTCCAGATGCCCTTTGAGACAGATATCTGTTACTCCATTTTCTAACCTCCTCAAACAAGCCTACTCTGATTTTTTCCCAGGTGGTGACATCCTGGGGTCCCGCATACAAATCCAGTATTGCATGTCTTGTATATGATTGTGTTAAGGATTTTATTTTGTGCATTATATGTAAGTCATGTACACTGCCATATGATGTAAAAAGAAAGATGTACCTGAAAACAGTGAAGTGTCATACCAACAAAAATGCCAAAAATCTGAACAGTGAAAAAGTACTTACATCGATTGGTGTGTGGGGATTGTCATTCTCTCAACCCTACATCTCTGCACATCCACAGGACAGTGGGTGGGGCAAGGGCCACCTTGGGGTGTAAAAGGCCATGGAGTGGCATGATGACTTATAGAGACATTAGAGTGCCAAGCCTAGAACCAAAATGAGCCCCAGTATCTGTCTGCCTCTCCTCTGCTCACAGGTGTTCTGAGAATCATCACATCTGTAATTTGTTTTCCATAGGTCTGTACATCCAGAGAGGCACAGGAGCCCCAAGGTGCTTCCATGGGACATCAGCAGTGTGACCGGTGCTCAGTCTGGGGACCTGACATGTGGCAGTGTGTTCACAGCCATGGGGCCAAGTGAGGAGGCTGCTTGAGGGCCATCCCATGGTTTTGGTCTTCAGTCTTTTACACTCATCCATCTGTGGGACGGATGTAATCTGTTTGTGCAGCAATGTTCTAACTTCAAATGAGATAAATATATCTGAAATTGCTTTGGAAAACTATAAAGTCCTTACAGAATGCAAATACACTAGTGATGAAATGAAAAGCAAACTAAAAATTCTGTCTCCTTCAAAACATCTGATTTTGTTGTGTTCAGCATGAATATTTTCACACATTTTGAAAGGATATTACTCCCCACTTTAAAACTGATAAATGTGAAGGACCCTGGGAAACCAAGCAAGCAGATCACCTCCCTGGTAAATGGCAGCAATGTGGCAGACTGTGGCCCTTCCAGGGGGAGAACCACCAGTGTCTTCTGAGATCCACACCATGTTGGAACTTAGGATGCTGGGAAACCAAGCAACCAACCTGCCTCCTTGCTAAGCAATAGTGAACCTACTGGTGCACGGCCTAGAGTCAAACATCCCACTTCCCCTACCCCTCTTCCTCTGTCCCCCCCCCCCTTAGCAAATGGAAACCAGAAATCTGAGCATCTCTTGGGAGGTTGACCATAGCAAATAAGGGGGATTTCCTTCTACCATCTCTTTGAAGGCAAGTATTTTTATTACTGTTCTGCTTTGTTCTGACTAATGGGTACTGCTCTATTCAATATTCTGTTTTGATAAATTCTATAATATTCTGTGTTGGGGGTTGCTCGAGCCGCTCCCCTAAGATGGCGCCCGTTTCCTGCTTCCGGGTCCCTGTTGCCGCGCAAACAACCCTGCCAAAATGAGTGTCTACCTAGCTACCGGTGACTGTGGCCTATCAGCATGCGACTTCTGCTTCGTATTGATTGGTTACTCAGATCCTATATAAGTGTGTGTTTCTGCCCCCAACGGGCAGAAGAGGAAGAAACTTGAGGGTGGCGGATCTTGTCAGATCCAGCTTCGCTGTACACAATAAATATTGAGAGCTGATCCAAACACAGTTACATCTTTCATTGCCCATGGCGCCGTATAACTGGTGGCCCGTACGGGGAATAATTTATTCGACCGCTGCACTCTCTCCGGCCAAGGGACGCGGCGGGCGTGACCTCCATCGCAATCTGCGAGTAACGGAAGATCTGGTCTAATAACAGCGGAGGACCGGGAGCGCCTCTTCTCAACACCCTGGTCAGCTATGCACGATACAGCGGATAAATACCTAGGTCAGGTGAGTACTGGGTCACCTGGGTCGGGTGGACGCGCCCGATAAGCTCTGAGGCATCTCACACATAGACACCGCTGTTATATTCTCTAGCTTGCTTGCCTTCCTTACTTTCGCTTTCGACACCATGGGCAACGCTGCCCGTAAACCCCTTGCTGCTTCATTGAGAGTTCTGTTAAAATCCCGAGGCATCCAGATTAGCCGGGATACCATGTCTCGCTTCCTGGATCACCTCAATGACTTGGCACCTTGGTTCTGGCCTACAGGTTCCCTGACTCTTCCTTCCTGGAAAAAATTGGGCAAGGATTTGTTATGTGCAAAGGAAGGGGGTAATTTGGACCCAATGGTCATGCCCCTATGGGAGCTAGTTAGCACCTGCTTGGCGGATGAGGACGCCCCCGGGCTACACCCAGCCAGACAGACTTTTGCCAGGGCCCATTCCGAATGTTCTGAGGAGCTAGATCCACCGCTTAAACCTGCCCCAGAGCTCTCTGATAGCTCTGAGGACTCGGGGTCGGATTCGGATGACCCAGATGATGTCGCGGCCCTTGACACTGGGGACATTGTTAAAGATACTAAACATGGGCCGAGAAAATCGATGCCTTCCTGTCCCAGGTACACTGACTTACGACAGGAGTTGAGATTCCTTCAGCCCTATGAGGCCTTACAGCCTGCGATTGCCCCCTTGGGGGCACCGTGGCCCACTGCACCGCCGTGGCAGGGGGAGGAGTTACTTCCCGGACTGCCACCCCCACCTGTGACCGGTGGGGGGCGCTCTTTTCATCAGAGAGTCTGGTCGCGCCTACCTTTTGACTGTTCCGGTCTTCATGTCTTCCCTGTTCAAATAGGGGGCAGAGGAGGAGGGGGATATTACGAACCTTTAGAGATAAAGCAATTAAAGGCTATCAAGGATGCAACCTCAGCTTATGGACCTAATGCCCCCTTTACCATGGCCCTCCTGGAAGCCCTGGCTGGCTTGTTGCTGACACCCGGGGATTGGACACAACTTGCACGTGCTTGTCTCTCCCCTGGTCAGTACCTAGATTGGAAATCATGGAATGAGGAATTCTGCACAGAACAGGCAGCAACTAATAGGGATAATGGACATAGGGAATGGAATAGAGATATGTTACTAGGACGGGGAGCCTTTGAGGAAGATCAGACACAGTTTCCTCGCCCTGTATATGAACAGATTAGCCGTTGTGGTGTTCAGGCCTGGAGACGATTGGCGGGAAAGGGTGAACACACGGGTCACCTTACTAAGATTGTCCAAGGTCAGGGAGAACCATTTTCAGACTTTGTGGCTCGCATGCTTGAGGCAGCAAATAGGATTTTTCCAGACACGGAGGTTGCTCACCCTCTTATAAAGCAGTTAATTTTTGAACAATGCACCAAGGAATGCCGTGATGTTTTAAGATCCAATAAAAACAAGACCTTGGAGGATTGGACACGATTATGTCGGGAGCTCGGTGGACCAGTAACTAACCACGGGCTTGCCACCACCATGATAGCAGCGCTCCAGAATGGTAATTATGGGGGTAAACAACTTGGAAAAGGGAATAAAGGTAAAAATCAGGGCACATGCTTCAATTGCGGCCAATCAGGACACATA